ATAACATTTAATGTATGTGCTAACCTGTAACCTTTGTAAGTAGTGTAGAACTAAGCTGAGCTCTCTGATTATGGTTATACATAAGGCCTTTCTTCCTAGAAAAGTAAAAACTTGCAGGTAGGCTGGCCAGGGCACCTGGGAGCACAAGACCCTACGCAGCTAAATGATTATAGGCACACTGAGCAGATCACGCTCAATCTGTCCTAAAGAGGGCAGCTTGTGGCCTTGGAGTACGAAAGCTTCAGAAAGCCACCTACCCTGTTAAGCTATATCTGTCATTTTGTGCCAGGGACTATCAGAGCTTCCAATAGCTGTTGTTTGACTTCTTAGCCTTCCGTTACTAGACACCAAGAGGGTTAAAACTCCAAGCTTGACTGGACTAAGGAACTTAATGTAGGCTCTAGCTGATCGCAACAGCATCAGATCTTAACCCCTGCTGCAGCAGCAATTAAAGCTCGAGTTACTGCTCTGTGTGCTGCCTTTAGGTCTATTCATTTTTCATCTTCAGTGGGTATTAGTGCACACACTTATGTCTAAGTATCTACATAGTGATTCTGTGGCTGTCCGGTGTAACGTTGGAGCATCTTACAATCATTAATGGATTTTATCCTTAAAACATCTAGCAGCCAAAGGCATACTGTGATTCAATGGCTAGACGCTGAAGCTAAACCAATTCAGGGTAAAAATAAGTATGCTACTGGCCACACCACTCCCAACTGCAGACATGTTTCTGTTAGCAGTAGGTAGCTGCCAAGCTTGCCTCTTCCAGAGACATCTGCACCCCGGTCAGCATGATGCTTGGTAGTAATTCCATTTTAAGCTCTCTGTAGCAGGAAGTGTCTTTCCGTGGTTTGGACAGTGCCTAGGACAATGAAGCCTCTATCCCTAACTGGCATGTCTGCAATATAAATAAAAACTAGGGTGGGGGAACAACCACAAGAGGAGACGGAGAAGATCGTCACGAGCAGCATGAAGCAAAATACACATCAGAGAGAGAGAAAAGGAATAAGCAAGAAACAAGATGATGAGGGAAGGGAGTGGAGAACAGACAGAAAAGGATGTCAGGCTCATGTTGGGGTGGGGGAGGGTGGGCAGGGGATGGAATATGCAGAAAAACAGGAGAAAGGGGTGATGACAGCATGTGCCGGGGCGGGGTGGGGAAGGTTCCTAGTTGTTTGTGTCCCAGAGAGACTCCAGTTAAAACAGTTAGGAATCACTGCTATAAAGTGGGGATTAAAGGCGTTCCATTCATATAAGCTAATGTGACCTTCTTCAGCCCCTGAGAGTTGGAGGGGGAAGGGAGGCATTGCTTCCCCAGACTGTTCTGTGCCAGTAACTTCATAAAGAGGAAAATCTGACTGTAGATCTGCGCTGCACAGAAAAACCTGCGGCACCGGGTCAATTGAGTCAGGCTTGCGGGACGCAGGCTGTGGGACTAAAAATAGCAGTGTAGATGTTCAGGCTTGTGCTAGCTCCTGAGCTCTGAGACCCTGCCCTCTCGCCCACCAGGTGTCAGACCCCGGCTCTGAGACTCAGTGCCATAGGTCTCTTACTGCAGTGTAGATGTACCCTTAGGTGCTCCACAATGTTTTTAAATGTGAACACTCCTGGCCACTTGATCCCTTTGAGAAGTACTTTGAGTCCTAGGGGAAGACTCCTGAGGTGCATGTCTTTATCGGCTCCATATTGCCACTTCTCCAGGAAACTACAAATAGTTCATTCGAGTTGGGGGGGAAACCCCACAAGACTAGTAATACATGCAACTTTTAACTTACCAAGGGCATTGCCCAGGGAAGTAGTGTCTCACCAGACTCTCTTCTGCCATTAAATCCGTAATGAGAGCGTTAACTTTTTCTGGATACTAGAGTAAACTGTCCTCTTCAGTCAATTCTTCGGGCACGAGCCTTCTCCTTTCACCCCATACTGGAGAGCATAACCCCCTAGGGCTTGAGCCTGGGGAAGCAAGTTTCTTACAGCTATATTGTCCAAAACCAAACCGTACAGTAATATCAATCTGTTTACCTCACAACAGAATCCAAGACAGTGTTTCAAACCAGACCTCTGGGTTCTGTGAATGGTGAATCACAGCATACTCAATGGGTGGCTTTCAAAAAGGTCTTCTCCTGCTCCTCCAGCTTCAGGCAACAGTAGTCTCAGCTGTAAACCACATTCTTTTGTTTCCAGACTGTTTTTTTCAGGAGCACAGTGAGTTCATTTGTCCTCTTTGAACTAGTGCTGGTTCTCTTGCATTTTCAACTGCACCTTTCTCGTTCACCTTCGCTTTTCATTAATAAAGTTGTGCTTAATTGTCCATATGCTGTGGTAATCTGAAAACTCAAGCCTTAGATATCTGTTGACCTCGGTCTCAGCTCTCTGCTCAGGACTTCGTCTCAGCATTCCTCACCTACATCAGTATTAGTCACATTTCATATCAGAATAAGAAAGTATTCTACCATCTTTGTGTCTGAGATTTCACATATGGCCAACACCCTCACTGCTTCAAATATGTGCAGTCAGTCCACTACTACCGCCACAGAACCAACGTAAGTTCAGAAAGT